TTGCGCTTTGGAATAAAGTAAGCAACGCAATTTCTTTATGCGGATAACATTTTAGGTTCTGCAAAATAAGAACTGAAGATGATGACGAGGGCTAGAACTCAAGAGCAACTGTGCTGCTTCTGCAACAGCCCTCGCAGGCCGCGCATTCCCACAAAACATCAAAATAAAAACGGCCTAAGCGTCCCACTCGTTAGTTTGAAGTATTTCTATAGCATTAGAGCCGGATTCGAGCCGGATCGCAGAAATGCACACGCGATTTTAATTTATTGCGTTTCCTTAGTTTTTTTTTTTGTCAATTGTATTTATCATTCTAACATTCGTTGTTGTTCATTTCTAGCCTTTGTCATCTTCATCACCTTCTATTCGGACTTGAAGCATGAGCAATACCTCAAATGTTAGGAAATTGCGTTTGCTATTGTCATGTTTTATTGTCATGTTGTCCGTTTTTATTGTCATGTTCTGTGGGAATGCGCGGCCTCTGAGGGATATTGCAGAAGCACACAGTTGCTCTTGAGTTCTAGCCCTTGTCATCATCTTCGGTTCTTATTTTGCAGCACCTAAAATGTTATCCGCATAAAGAAATTGCGTTGTACTTGTATTCCAAAGCGCAATTACAGGACTTGGCAAAAAGCCAAGAGAGCTGCACGCGACCGCGCCGCGCGGATGGTGTTAGCATAAACGTGAGGGCGGTGTAGCAAGGAATTACGACTTTTCCACGGCCCCGTACTCTGACCCCGTGCAGTTTTGGGCGGGGGGTGACCAGCCAACACATCGACATGAATATTTCCTCAATACACCCTCATGGGTTTGAGGTCGTAACCATGTGTCCCTTTGAAAAAGAATTGTTAGAGCCAAGACGGCAAGTGTTATATTAAGAGTTGCCACGTACATGATCTACTATTTCTTGGCTCACTAAGAGTATGTGATCACCCTACTCGTAGGTGCGCGCTTTGAGATACGGGCTGCTCTCACCTTAAAGGCAGCACTGCGTGTGAGTCAGGCGGTCCCGCAGCTGTAAGCAATGAAGCCTGCTGTTGTGTCTTGTTTGGCTGTTCAAGTGCCGGCCGAGGTGGGCCTGCGTGGAAAGTGGTCCATTAGTGCTTTTCAAGCTTCTCACACAGCGCATAGACGTGACACACACAGCCATAGCGCTCAACCGCCACTCAACGTTATCTACGGGGCCTTCTGCGTTTAGAGGGTTCCCTACAGTTGGCCGCGATAGGTGAATGACTCACTTCCACAGCTGCGGATCTGTCCACCTGGCACGTGGCAAAGACCCTGCTGGCCCGTAAGAGTACATCGTATCTTCAGGGAGTATCCTGCCGTCTCAAGTCCTTCAAACTAATGAGGATAGTAGCCCAAGGCTTTTCAAGTCATTCCTTTATAAGCTGAGATGTTTTTGCTGTTACGAAATGTTCACTTCACCTTTTTCGTGTTTACAAACATTTTGTCATATGTATTAAAACTTCCGCTCTCCATTGGCCAATATGGCACACATTTCATGTTTTCTATTTCAATAGGCTAAAATACAATAGTCATAACCGTTCATGTTTCAATCTTGACTGTGTTAGCGCTCTATAATAGAGGCTTTCCATTACTTCATGAATAAATCATTTGGCGTATGATGTAGTGTACTTTTGTAGTTTTCTGAGCCAATGCTAATGCTCACGCTAGCATGTGAGAGAGTGTTCGAAAGTAAACGAAAGTTCCACAAAAGTACTCGGAACGTTTGTTTTGTTATAGGGTGCCGATGAAGCTGGTATACGAGGGAGTCTGATTTGATATCAAACCGATGAACAACAGCTTCTCGCTACTGTTACACCTATCTACATAAGCTTCGCCCCCGTTATGAATAACTTCCAAATTGTTTTGGAAAGGAATATCGGCGGACGGTACACCGCCCAACTTTGACGCTACAAGTTCAGGAAAGGCTACTGTACTTCAACCGGTAGGAAAAAGGATCATATTCTTCGGAAACTGGAGTGGATCCCTATCAAACTACTCATGCATCGTCATCCAGGAAGTGGGCAAAACAGGCGGAGCAGTGCGCATCATGGATTCCAACGTGAACGCAATGTTGTGTTGTGCATTTCGCGGAACTTAGGCAAAGGTGAAGGAGCACCGATGTCTATCAGGGGTGCGACAAGTATGTCTTGAACCTATGTAACTCAGCAACAAATATGGAGTCGTACTCCTTGGAATCAGCACGGCAGTGCGATGCCCCATCGCAAACACCGGGGAGTGTCAACTAGCGACTTGTGACGGGAGTGTTGTTCCTCATGCGTCACACCTTATTTTCGGGCTCGAGCAACATTCATGTTAGAGTCGTGCAGAAGGAACCTTCCGCACAGAACATTTGGCAGCGTTTGATGCGAACGTGCGCTTTATGTCTCAAAGGATAGGCTCTTACTCTCTAGACCTCACTCAACCGACTATCACCTGCTCTACACTTGGTTCCGTTTGGGCGGCAGAAGCTTTGATGTCTTCCACAACATAGAAAGGGGATTTGGTGAGTTCACTGAAACCCAGCTAACCACATTCTCACTGGAAGGCATCTGGTACCGACTCAAATATTGGCACAGAAGCATTATGTTAATGTTGAATTAACGAGCACGCTAGTGATGTTCCAGAGCTACTAGATGACGTTTTCATGAAAACACAATTTACCTGCGTTAGATTAACAATGCTTGGGCAGTTTTCTTGGAATACCATACGCCAAAAATCGCCTATCGTACTTTCAAGTGGGGCCTGAAGTTGTACATGTTATCGAGAAGTGGTTGTGACCTGTAGCTCTAATGAAATGGAAGCTTTCGAGGTTTCCCTTGACTTGAGCTGATGATTGCTGATGACTTGATAGGCCTGTGGGTCAGGGCATCCGATTGACGGTGGAGGAGTAAAAACGGTTTCGCCCTAGTGGAATCCGCAATTGGCAGAAATCATATTCTGCAAGTTCCGCGTGCAACACCGTATTCATAGGACGTCGCATTTGTTCACGTATGAGCGCTGCAGTAGGTTGAATAGCGCTTCGGGCACATCTAGGCTCTGAAATAGGTCAGGGCACGAGACCAATCTCACGAAGAGGCGTTCCCAATGAGGCCATTTTCACCGGGACCCAATCAATTCGACGTGGCATCTGCGTTTCATGAGTCAACTAGCCAGGAAATGCTATGCTAGACTGCGCGCGATGCCGCGACAGAGCTAACAATTTGGGCTGTGGAGCGCTATGTTCCTTTCGCCTGAGGAGATAGGATCAACGTGCAGCGCGCTGTTCAGGTTTCTTTACGTCGCCGCATCTCGGATGTCTTGACTCACATCTGTATGAAAGACGTGCACACATATGTATATGACGGCAGGTCTAATACTGTTAGAAAAGAGGGCAAATTGCGAAGATCTGAAGATGGTCACACCTGTGTCATTATGAATATTCTATCATGTTTTTCGAACTTCACCCAGTTAGCATGAATGTAGTCTGTTAATGGAGGTACTTCATGGTGTAATACCACTCGTGTCGCATCCAGACAAACGACGTCCTGAAACCCTCTGCGTCTGTGTTGAGGTGAAAATGGACATATAGAGATGCATAACGAAGTGCATGATGACGAACCAGGCAGGTAAGTAACAACAAGGGGTGGGAAACAAGTGATACGAACGATATGGTACAGTCGTGTCGCTTGCTCGCTTCAACAGTTGATGTAACATGGGCTTGGCGTCGCACTAAATGAAGCCCTCCTGACATGCCCATCATTCGCAAAAACTGCACGCTTAACTGATAGGTGTATCTTCTCCGTGCGCATCCTATGCTACCCCTGAGCGCAAAAGCACAAAAGGGCGTGGAAAGGAGTCAGAACTTGTCGTTCTTGAGGGGCGTAGATGAGCAGTGCGTTCGTGTGGCAGTATAGAACGGTGTATGGTGTAAAAAATGCCAGCAAGCTGGGCTATCCGACTTTTCACTTTATAGAGAAAAACGTACATTGTAGCGGTTCTTGTCTGAATTCGCAAGAAAAGCTTCATGTTTGTAAAGTTCATCGGGACATCTGTATTGAGAGACGCTGGTGAATTCATGTTTAAGTCCTTCTATTCCTGAAATAGGACTGATGGTAGCAACGAGCAATCAACATTGGCCATATCCTAAGCACGGAGCTACTGTGCGCAACTGGTATTCACTGGTACTGATAGAGGAACATTCCCTGCAAAAAAGGCCGTGTGGCTCATGTGGGCACTCCGTCGGTTTAAGTGGAAAGCTAATCACATTATGCCGCGCTGCTGGGCGTGGCGAGCGAGGCTGCGCGCGACGGACGAGTTGTCCTGCTTAGATGTTCGAATTTGAGTGTAAGGAAACATGGAAATTCGATATCGCTCGGCATGGGAACTTGTCTTTGCTAGGATTCGTATGAGTTTCGCTGTTCCAGTCGACAGACCCCTGCACACCGAGAATTTGCCGCGCATCGCCGCGCTATACTCCACACGTGACGGCGCCAGAACTTGCGATTGTCTTGTCCGTCTCCCCTCCTCCGCGGGTGGAACGTAAAATGGGATACCAAGAGATAATGAGAAGAGCAAAAGGAACGAGGTCTGCACATATTTATTTTCCTCCAGGGGTGGACACAACGTATTCCGCCGCGTTATCGCGCGCGGGGCACTGCCGGCCGCGCGCGGCAATTCTCAATGTGAGTCACTTTGTGGATTGCATTAGCGGGACTCATAAGAACTGAAGCAAAGGCAAGACTCCATGTAGAGTGATAGCGACTTCGTGCCATTACATTCAAAACCGAATAGCTGGACAGGGTGACTCGTCTCCCGCTTGCGCGGCGTCGCGCCACGCCCAATGCGGCATATGGCTATTGTCCTGTCGCACACTCGCTAGCCTATGCTTTCAAACGCGAACGCCAAACTCCTTCGGCAGTATCTCGTTGGAGAGGGTGGGGTGAGCGGGTGCAGGTTAGCAGCAAGAGGTCGTGACTTTGTCTCGTTACAGAGTGCCTCTCCAACCCTCTATCGCAGCTATCTTCCCAACTTGGGACCTAGATTGTAGATTGAATTGCATAGTAAATTACTGGTAAAACTATGACAATTCCTTGTGGGACAAGTGATAACTTTCCTACACGCAAACAGATGGCAAGGACTATTCGACGCACTAAGATCCACCTACCTCTCGAAAAATCAAACATGCCCCCCCCCTCGACTCTAGATCATCGACTCTCTCATAGGTAAAACAAGCAAAAGTTTGCATAATTTACCGATGTTACTTAGATGATCGACAAATTCATCTACAGTCTTCTCAATATCAGGTGGTAACGAATTGAATGACGACCTAGACCTCCGTACATTAGGTGAATCCGGCTGCAAAAACGATGCTTAAAACAAAGTAACGCCTCACAAAAATACTGTAGGATTCTGTTACACTTTTTCGTCATAGTTCTCTTCAGGCAGTGCATTGGCTCGGGCCGCGTTGTCGTGCAAGGCGTCCCCTCGTAGTAAGCGTGAATCTGCGTTCAGACTTCGCGACGGCAGCGCTTCGGTCGCGTTCGTTCGACGCGATCAATGCAGTCGAAAGCATGCGCATCGATCGCGTCGAACGCGCGACCGAAGCGCTGCCGTCGCGAAGTCTGAACGCTGCCTAAGATTGCATTTATACTTTGAAGGAGCGTCCACCAGCGACCATTTGCGCTTTCGAGCGCCCGACAGCGTCAGCGAAAGTATAGATAGCCATCTAGCTAAAAGCAGCGTCTACTAGCGTCCACCAGCGCTCTCCAGAGTCCACCGGCAACCAAGGACATCTCAAGGGACTAACAAAGTATGGATAACGATCCGGCGTCCACTAGCGTTTAATAGTATTTCGTGGTAGTATCTACATGCCAAAATTTCGCGGCGCCTGATGCAGCTGTCTTCTCCCTCCTACCTCTCCTTACTCTATCAGCAGTCTGCTACCTTCCTACATACTCTCTACTGTGGTCGCTAGTGGATACTGATAGACGCTAGATCTATATCCATACTCAAGGTACAGCATCGCTAGTGTCAGTGAAACGTATAGGGGGAACGTACTTTTCCGCTGGGTAGGGAGGGGGCGTATTTGGTCGTTGTTGGGAAAGGGGAAGGGTCGTAGAAACAGCCGGGTCGGTGTCCCGATCGTCATGTCTACTATATAACCGTCTCCCCCCGCTCGACGGGAAATCTCTCGGT